CCCCAAAACCCCAAAACCCCAAAACCCCAAAACCCCTCAATTTAGGCAATTTAAAAATAAAATAATTCAAAATGATATCTACCGCATATTTGAGTGACTCTGATGAGGAGGAGAGTCCTCCTGAGGCTTCAGTAGAACCTCTTAATGTCAATATTGGAACTCTGAGTAGGTTTCAAAGGAGAAATATGTTTATAAACTTTCTTTAAAAACACTAATAATGCTATATAGACTCTTTCAGTACCAAGAACGTAGTACTAGAGCATGAGATTAGCAAAGAAATTGAGTTCCAGAAGGACTATATCCTGTCTGTTTATAACGAAGAGAGCCAAACTCTTGAGTTATGATCCCCTCCAGTCTCGAAATATTTTGTCTCTGCTCTGAGCTCTTTAATAGAGTCTGAGACTCTTATAGTGAGACATTTAAAAATCTCTGGAGCTAGTATCAGAGTTTGTTCAAGGATTCTAAATGCTATAGGGAAATATAGAAAGCCCCCTCTGATACTGGAGGTAAAGGCCCTAGGCAAGTCAACCATTAAAATGGCTAAAAATCTGAGTAAACTTTTAAAATGGAGAAAGAATGGAGATCTACGAGGGATCAGAGAAACCCAAATAATGTGCCTCGAAGGCCTCCAAATCTCAAAATCAGCCACTTTGGGATATATTTTTGGCAAGAATTTATTTAAAAAGGAGCCAATCTGACTAGTAGAGGAGCTTATACTCAAGGATATGGGAATTACTGATAAGGTTCTTCTCAGTTTTGATGAAGATAGTGGGAACTTCCTCTCCTCATTTCCGTTGCTAAAACACTTGAGCTTTTCGAAGAACTATTTAAGCATACATGGAATCCACTGGATAACCAAAGGAATGATAAAGACTGATAATTTATTTCTTAAGAAGCTCAACTTCAGCGATATGGGACTTAATTCTAAAGGAGTCAAGCTTCTAGTTCAAGGGTTGACTAATTGAAAACTATTAAAGCACCTAAATCTGAGTAACAACAGTATTGATGATGCAGGAGTTCCTGAAATTCTCACTTTGATTGACCCTTCCTCAAAAGTAAGGGTTAAGCTCACAGAGCTAGACCTCAGCAACAATAGACTCACTAGTATTGGGTGTTCTAAACTGTTGACTTGATTTAAGTTGAAATAAATTGAAATCTAAGAAGAAAAACGACAGAAATATTAAGAAATGCACTCTGAAGAAACTTGATATCTGTGGTAACAAAGTTGATGTCAGTATAATTAACTCATTACGTGCTGCGCTTGAAAGCAGCGGGTCGCTCTCCCAGCGTGAAATAGACACTTGAATTCAAAAATGAATCTCTGCTGAAAAAGAGATTATTAACATGGATTTGAAAGAAATTGTGTGATCCACACCATCTCCAAATAAGAAGAATAAAGCAGTTCCAAGTGTCAGGTTTACACTTTCAAGTTTTAAGAAAAGCAAAGATGACGATGAAGAAAATCTCAACCAGATAAACGTTAGAGAAAAGGTAATGGATTACTCAGAGAAAGTCAGAGAGATGAACAAAAGTAAAACATCTCACAGTTCAAAACCTAGTGAGCTTCAGGAGCATCCTTATGACCCTACTGAAGACCTCATCGGTATTTTCTACTTTTAATAATTTAGAAGAGTATTACCTCTCAGATTCTACAGATAACTTCGTCACTAGCTATCAGAGATATAGAGATCAAAGAAGTGCCAGGCTAGGAACTTCAGAGAAAGAGAGAAAGCCTGATGAGGAAAATAATCAATCGCTTGATTACTCCCTGACTTCAGAAGATTGCAAGGAAGAAACCAAGACAGAATCTTCTGTCTCTGATTATTACAGTGCTGGAAAGACACGGTTCTTTGAAAGGATCGATAGGAGCACTATTGATCTTGCATCAGACTTCCAAAGTTATCGATATCAGATTGAAAATGCTAGTGATGGTAAACCCCAATGGTTTATAATATAGATTCTATTGATATAACTCTGACTGACAATTCTGAGAATGGGAATCCACATAAAGAAATTGTAGTTTCAAACTATAATAAGCTCCTTACAGATATCAGAGGGGTCATAAGAACTCAGAGAGAGAACATTCTACAGAGGACGAGGGAATACGATTCTTCGTCTTCCAGTGATTTTTAACTTAGTAATTCAATTTTTGCAGATTTTCCTGGGGTTTTGGGGTTTTGGGGTTTTGGGG